CTATGAGAGAATAAGAGCAATAACAATAATAATGACAGTAATAATAATAATAATAATAATGATAATAATGATAATGATAATAATAATGATAATAATGATAATAATAATGATAATAATGATAATAATAATGATAATAATGATAATAATAATGATAATAATGATAATAATAATGATAATAATGATAATAATAATGATAATAACAATATAACAAAATTTATAATACTGATAATAACAATAGTCATAATGATAATAATAATAATAATAATAATAATGATAATAATAATGATGATAACATACACACACACAAACACACACACACACTTGTGCGCGCGCGCATACAAATATATGTGTACATGTATATATATATGTATATATGGGTGGGTGCTTCATGCTCGTGGGTGATGTGAAGCGATGGTGTGGTAGCCTAAGTAGTGTTAAGAGCTTGCATGCCTTCTCGCTTGCAGCTGCCACCGCTGGCTAGCCTGGTGCGAAAAGGGAGCAGCTTTGCATAAGACTCCCCTGCCAGCTCATAGCCTCTCCATCATCAAGACTTCTGCAGTGCCTCCTCGTGGCCACCCATGGAAACTAGGTACCTTGCGGTCCTAGGCTGAACTGTGGAGGCTCTTGGAGCAGCAGGAGGCCCTAAAGGTACGAAGTCATGGCCCACCGGCGTGTGGACACGCCCTGGCTTCGTACCAACTCCTGCCCCCGTGCCCCCCGGGGTTAAGGGGAGGCTGTGGGGGGGCAGGCCTTGCCAGTCTGCCCCTCCGAGACAACCAAACTGGCAACGAAACATAAAGAAGTTGGTGCTGGGGGGAGGGCTAAAGCCCCTCCTACCCAGCAAGAACGGCAGGCTGTGGGTCCCTCTGGGTTGGCGACCGCTGGGACTCAGGCGGGGAGGGGGGGTTACCCTTCATCCCCTCTGGGTCCCAGCGGCCGCCAGCCTGGCGTGATGCTTGTGGGGGAAAGCCCCCGGGAGCCCTGCAGGTGGATTAGGGGACCTGCAGCCAGCCAACCTCTATATGGGGCGGCGTCGGTGGGGGTGACAGAGGTGGCGCCCACCCGGAGTGACTGCCAGAGGTTAAACCTCAGGCGGGCTGTCAGGGTGGGGGCTTGGAACGTCCGTTCCCTGCGACAGGATGATCGGTTACCACTACTGTCGAGGGAATTGAAGCGGCTGAGAGTTGAGGTGGTTGCTCTCTCGGAGGTGAGAAGACCTGGCAGCGGCACGATTAGTGTGGGTGGCTACACTTACTACTGGTCGGGCCGCAGCGATGGCCACCATCTCCAGGGAGTAGCCATAGCCATCTCCAGCCGACTTCAACCCTCGGTAGTAGAGGTCACTCCAGTCGATGAGCGTATAATGGTATTGAGACTGAAGCTGTCATTTGGCTTCATGTCTCTTATTGCTGTGTACGCTCCTACGGATGTATATAAACTTGAGGTGAAAGAGATGTTCTACGCCAAACTTGCATCTGTGGCAGACAGTTGTCCTCGGCGAGATATTCGTATTGTTTTGGGCGACTTCAATGCGGTATCCGGATGTGATCGAGCTGGCTACGAGATGTCTGTCGGTCCCCATGGCTCAGGAGCTGATCCTTTTCCGTGACTTTGCTAGGTCCCAGAAATTGAGGATCTCTGGCTCCTGGTATCAGCGTTCTGACCCGCATCGCTGGACTTGGTACAGCGATACGGGTAGGGTGGCCAAGGAGATCGACCACATCCTCGTCAGCACTCGGTGGAGGATCCTCCAGAACTGCAGGGTGTATCGAAGCGCCGAGTTCTGTGGAACTGATCATAGATTAGTTGTGGCTACTCTCCGGGTCCACTTTAAAACCCCCCGTCGACCAAATGAGCACACCAGGGTGTTTCATCTGGACAGACTGAGGGAGGATGAGTGTGCCCGGGGGTTTGCTGAGGCTATCTCTGGTCAGTTCACAGCACTCGAGGGCCTGACAGACCCTGTTGTTATGTGGGATTCCTTCAAGCGTGAAACGCTTGATGCAGCTCAGGAATCCATTGGTGTACGCCCTAGAGCAAGACAGAATACCATCTCGCAGGAGACACTGGAAGCCACAGAAGCTTGCCGTGCAGCTCGATTGTCAGGGGATCGCAATTTGCACCGTTCTCTGGCGCGCAGGACTAGGTCACTGCTGAGAAGGGATAAGGAACAGTGTATCAGTAATCTTGCAGAGGAGGTCGAAAGCCGTTTCCTAGTAAATGACCTTCGTCCTGCTTACCAAGCTCTGAGAAAGCTGAACTCCAAGCCCTCCTCACAGACGACGGCAGTCCGCTCAGCGAGTGGTCAGGTAATCACAGATCCTGATGGGGTGCGTGTGCGTTGGGCTGAGTATTTTGAGCAGCTGTATCAGGTTGATCCACCAACAGTTAACTTGGATGCTGGGAATGTTGAGACTCCTCTGCCAGACCCACCCATCAGCGAGGATCCACCCTCCCTGACTGAAGTCAGGGGGGCGATCTCCAATCTGAAGAGTGGTAAAGCAGCAGGTGTCTGCGGCATCCCAGCTGAATTATTAAAGGCTGGTGGAGAACCTATGGCAAGGGGCTTGCATGCAGTCCTGTCTGCCATCTGGCAGACCCGGTACCATTCCCCCTGACCTACTGAGGGGTATGGTCATCCCTCTCTGGAAAGGGAAAGGGGATCGGTGGGACTGCAGCAATCACCGAGGCATTACACTGCTCAGTGTGCCAGGCAAGGTACTCGCCCACATCTTACTGAGACGTATCAGAGACCACCTCCTGAGGCACCAAAGACCGGAGCAATCTGGATTCACTCCTGGTAAGTCCACAATAGACCGCATCCTGGCGCTTCGAGTCATTGTAGAGCGCCGTCGTGAGTTCAGACGTGGGCTGCTTGCAGCCTACATCGACCTCAAGAAGGCGTTTGACACGGTGCATCGCGAAGCACTCTGGGAGATCCTGAGACTGAGAGGAATTCCAACAAGGATTGTTGGGCTAATAGCAAACTTGTATACAGGCACTGAAAGTGCTGTAAAGTGTGGGGGGGGCCTGTCGAGCTTCTTTCCTGTTAGCTCAGGCGTGAGGCAAGGCTGTGTCCTTGCACCAACACTTTTCAACACTTGCATGGATTGGATACTGGGTAGAGCTACTGTCCAAAGTCACTGTGGAGCAACTCTGGGCAATATCAAGGTTACAGACCTTGACTTTGCTGATGATGTTGCCATTCTTTCTGAATCTCTGGAAACCCTAGTGGCGGCTCTTGATGCATTTAGCAATGAAGCGAAGCCCCTGGGGCTAGAGGTCTCCTGGACCAAGACCAAGATCCAGGATTTTGGGGGCCTACTAGGAGACCCTGTGCAGTCGGTCCGTGCTTGCGGTGAAAACATCGAAGTCACTAGGAGTTTTATATACCTCGGTAGTGCAGTTCATGACTCTGGGCTGTCAGACCAGGAAGTCAGTAGACGGATTGGCCTGGCAGCAGGGGTCATGAAATCTCTCGACAAGAGTATTTGGAGATGCCGGTACCTGTGCAGAAGGACCAAGCTACGAGTTTTCAAGGCCCTGATACTGCCAGTTTTACTATATGGTAGTGAAACTTGGACGCTATCTTGTGCTTTGGATCTCGTCTCGATGCCTTTTGTAACAGATCCCTGCGCCGGATCATGGGGTACAGTTGGCGGGACCATGTGTCCAACCAACAGCTACACCGTGAGACCGGTACAGGACCTGTTACTTGCACAATCCGTGATCGCCAACTCAGGCTATATGGCCACTTGGCTCGACTCCCGCAGGATGATCCTGCCCATCAGGTTGTCTCTGTTCGAGACAACCCTGGGTGGAGGAGGCCTGTGGGACGACCAAGAAGGTCATGGCTTGGGCAGATCGATCAAACCTGTCGTGAGGAACTAGAGGTGGGCCGGGCCCCTGCCTGGCGGCTCGCCATGAGAGACCCTCGCAGGTGGAAACGAAGGGTGGACGCGGCTATGCGCCCCTACCGGCGTTAGCCCCCCAATGATGATGATGATGATGATGTATATATATATATATACATATATATATATATGTGTGTGTGTGTGTGTGTGTGTGTGTGTGTGTGTGTGCGTGTGTGTGTGTGTATATAGATAGATAGATAGATAGATAGATATATGTATGTGTGTGTGTGTGTGTGTGTGTGTGTGTGGTGTTTATATTCACATATATTATCTTAATTACTGCAGTAAAGATAAAAACAAAAACAATACTAAAGCACTCTGCTTTCTTGTCCAGTGAGCACCACTCTGAGAATAACCACCTCCTCCCATATTGTTATGGTTTTGTTTAGTGTTTTTTCGCACACTGTCCACCCATTTCTTGTCATCCTGATGGAATGCTTGAAATTGATCTACATTCACCATTCAGGAAGAAATTTACAAATATCAAATAATTAATAACTTCTGAACGAGATTGTATAAACTCAACTTATGAACAGCTGAGACAATGACGCCAAATTTTGACCAACCAAACTGACAATTTGGACAAAACTGAAATACCCATTAATGTGATATAAAAAAGGGTTGTAACAACATTTTTGACAAAATTAAAAAACATTCTTGCACTAATGTTGATTGGAATTCATAGTCACGCGTCGCCATCCTCTCGCGCTGGTTGTTTTATGACTGGCGGCTAGAGTCTGGAAGCAAACACTAAACTTTCGTTACCGCTAGATGGCGAGTGTCCTGATCTGAGCATCCGAATCTGATTGGCCAATGGCAGATTTTATCGT